TTTACCATGTTGGCCAGGCTGGTCTTGAACTACTGACCTCAGGTAATCCACCCACCTTGGCCTCCCAAAGTGCTGGGATTACAGGTGTGAGCCACTGCACCCAGTCAACTACTATCGTTTTTAACCTGGATTTTCCTTAGAGTAGAAGAATGGACAAGAGACACCTTTAGAGAGTCTTTCCATATATTTTCCACTTATGTCACCTGGAATCTCCATAAACTTCCTTTTGCCCCATTCTAAAGCTTCTCAAAATTCAGAAGGTAAGCTTATATTCAGACAACCAAAAATACTCCACAAAGTTTGCTTACAGGAAGTCCAATGTCCCCAGCGCCTATCCCATGTCTAGCAGGTGGCTCGCTTCATGTGGGCCGAGCTGCACTGGACTTCTCTGCTGGCTATTAGTCTCTAGAATCTTCTGGAGAAAATATTCTGCAACCCGTAGGCTCCTTATTAATACCACTGGTTCCTTGTCAGCAGGTGTTTAGGGGTTGGGGATTGGTGAGTATTGAGACAATGTCTTCAAGGGACAGTGCTATCTACTATTTTTTGGCTTCTGTTTACAAGTAAAGAGTTTGAAAGTGGCATTTTTCTATGTAGGACATTTCTTAGTCTGCTAGGAACTTAGGCATGGAATGGCTCATTTTCCATGCAGTTTGACCTCCCCAATGATATCCCACCCCAACTTCATAGGAAGGAGGTTGAAGTCTGTTTCTCTGCTATCATCAATGACTGGTGGGGCCTTTTAAAAAAATTTAGCTTGGGTGGTTGAGGTGTAATTTTTATCCCACTGGGGGCACTGAGGAAGGGCTTAGTTATGGAATCCCCTCTTGTACCCTCTCCTATAACATGATAAATGGCGTCTGGACCTCTAGTTTTAGAGACCTGGGCAAGAAAAAGGGGGAAGATCATTTTGACTCCTTCTAAAATGGAGCCGAGGCTTGTTGCTTAGAAAAACCATCCAAACTGCAGACCAGGAGCTCCTGCCCAGGTATGCCATCACTGCTCTAAACTCCAGCCCAGAGCAAGCAAATCCGTTTGGAATTTTAAGGATTAAATATCAGCATCTAAAAGTTTGATGCAGGCTAGGCACAGGGGCTCACACACAATCTCAGCACTTTGGGAGGCTGAGGTGGAAGGATCACTTCAGGCCAGGAGTTTGAGACCAGCCTGGGTAACATAGTAAGACCCCCCCATTTCTACAAAAACAAAACAAAACAAAACAAAAAACTATTAGCTGCATGTTGTGGTGCTTGCTTGCCTGTAGTCTCAGCTACCCGGAGGCTGAGGCACAAAGATTGCTAGATTCCAGTTCAAGGCTGCCGCGAGCTATGGTTGTGCCACTCACTCCAGACTGGGTGACAGAGTGAGACTCTGCATCTACAGAAAAGAAAAAGTTTGATGCAAATGGTGACAGATGGATGAAAGACACTCTACCTGCTGGGCACCTAGTCTGTGCCTTCTGTGGGCAGTGGCCAAGGTCCCCAAAGATGAGGCTGACTCAACAAGGAGATATGAGACATTCCTGTTACTGCTTTGGAGAGGAGGCTAATATGTCTCTTGGTAACAGTCCCTTATATCAACGTGACATTGAGGGAAAGAAAAAGCCACAAAAAGAAAAAAAATCAGGCCCATTTAGACAAAGCAGAAAATTGACTAGGGTACAGTCCGGGAAAAATGTCAACAGCAATCACTGTCTGCTAATCCCAGCCCAGTTTTAATCAGCGTCTCCCTGGCACTCTGGGGTATTTATTCTATGAAAGATTTAAGCCAGTTTGTTTTTAAGAAGAACCATCCTAATCCCCTCTGTTTAACTTTTCAACCTAATCTTGGTTACCAAGTTACTTACGGAGCGGAGTGGAAGAAGTGCTCCCCCTCCTACAAACGTGATTAACATGTTTTAGCTTATTTTTCCTAAAGTCTCCAGGGCAGTGCCAGCTGGGGGAAAGGGACAAGGCTGCCACAGAAGAGAACAGTGGAGGGAAGGGAAGCAGGCAACCATGGGGAGGGTGTGACAGGCAAGCTGAATGTGGAGCCAGAGCTCGGGTTCCTCCGTTCGCACAAACCGGGTGAAGAATGAGGTCATAGGTTAGAGTTTGGGGCTCTTATCTCTTTTTTATCGTGTCACTTTGTGTTTGTCCTTCAAGAGCACAGGGAAGAAAACACAGAAGACACAAATAATTCAAGGCCATGTGCATGGGACCAGAGCAGCCTGTCAAGCTCTACTTCCATTCCTTCTCTAAACATTCATTCCCTGAAGTTGATAGGAGCCTTAGGGATTAGAGCTTCAACTGTGGTCATGGAGGCCCACCAGGACGTGACCACAGACCTCGGACAGGCTCCACGGTTCCCTTCCTCCCCCAGCCTTCTCCTCAGTGCCACTATTGGGAGCTCTCCCTGTGTCTCCAGGGGCTCTCAGATAACCAGAGTCCCAGGTGGACTCCTGACAAACACAGATGTACTATGTCCTTTGCATGGGTGTCGCTGGCCCCCGCGGCTGGGGTGGGCTGGCCTGCTGCTTGGTGCAATACCCATCAGTCACTTCTGCCAAGGCCCCTACTCTGTCCTGACCCTTGGTTGGGGACCATGGGATTGGGGGATTGGGGGACTGGGACTGGGCTAGGGAATTAACATGACAGGAAGAAGGTATCTTGGTTTCCTCCAGAAAAACACTTCCATTTCTTTAAACCCACCACAAGCCATTTTGAGGGACTGCCTGAGCACCCCATGTCCCCTGCCGACCTCCCCTCTTTGTCCTCCCACTGATCCCGGACACCGGAGGGAGGGCGCAGGTCGGTACTCACGCTGCTGGGGTGGAGGATGGGCAGAGGCAGCAGCAGGAGCGGGACGCAGACGACCAGCAGCAGCTTCCGGGCTCGGAGCAGGACCTGCAGCAGGCCCATCGCGCCTCTGTCCTCTCCAGCTCGTCCTTGGACCCCGCTCTGCCGGCGAAAGGCTTCCTCCCTAGGCACTGCTCTCTGTCCAGAGAGACTTCTTAAACCTTTCTTGGCTTCCAAGAGTCCTCCTTCGTCTTGGGGCAGAATGGGAGGGCAGTTATACCCTCGCTGTTTCTACAGGAGGCTGGGCTCCCGGCCTTCTGCTTTAGGTGGGATTGATGAGCATCGTTTTATGGCCAGCAAAAAGGAACTGGGAAAGGATGATAAACGGGGGCATAGTGGGCCTCCTCTCTGCTTGATTAGTAATGGAGTAACTTCATTCTAGGTGTCAGCAAAAGCCCTCTTAATCCATTAAACCACACCTTTGCTGCTGCTGCTGGGCCTTGAAGAAATCATTTAAAAGCTTAAAAACATGAAAAATGCTCAGAGTATATTGTGCTCTCCATCAGTTTTCCTTCCTCGGATGACCTATTTTGGGGAAGTCATCCTGTTTCATCTCCTACCCTGGCTTGCTGTTGGTCAGAATCTAGTAGCCCCTTTCCTTAAAACAAGCACCCGAGCTTGTCAGAGGTGCGTGAGGACTTCGGGGAGTGGGGGCTGCTGGTCGCTCCCAGGACCTGGTACCTTAACTCTGTTCACATGTCTTTCCTTCAAATTGGTTCCCTACTTATAATTTGCCTTGAGCCTGGGCCTCCAAAGCAGAAAAGGAAAGTCCCCAAGACATTCCCTTTTATCAAAGAACAAAAACTTGCTGGAGGCCCACCTTTAACTTTCATCCACCAATAGGAAGCCGGGACAGAGGCAGTAGCTCGGCCCACTCCTCAAAGCCAATCAGCAAATTGAAAAGAATGAGTCAATTTCTCTCCCCACGGCCGTTCTTGATTGGTCACAGCGGGGGCCTGCTGATTCCGCAGAACCTAGGCAGCCTGCTAAGCTTATTTTTGTTTCTCAAACATCCTAGGGCTGGAATGATGACCATCGTCGTAAACATAATCTCACTTACCCAAGCACAGCTTTATTGTTTCGGATCATAGGACACAGAGCTTTTGCTGGGAGGGCCACCCGCTGATCTAGACCATAGGAAGGGAATGTGCCTGGTGGCAGGGAGAAAATGCAACATTACTTCTGGAGAATTTTCCCCAGAGTGTACAAAATTAAGCCTTTCAGACTTCCCTGCTGGCAAAGATCGTTTCCCTCAGCACCAGGGAGGAATATAAAGGGTCTAGGCCAGTAGAGGGCATGAGCCTGTGAGAAAGACCCCAAATCTTTCGGGAAGTATGGCTGCCTCCCTAGCAAATTCTAGATGCCAGTCTCATGCCCAGATGTCAGTGGTCTTTCTGGCTAAAGTAGGTGCTCAAATGCTCCTCTCTGAGGCTCTTCAAAAAAGAAACGGAAGACCTTCTTTGGCTGGTACAAAAGGAGGAGGTGGGAGGGCAGGGAAGAAGTTGACAAGTTCAGGGACAAGGTCTTAGCAGCAGTTGGACTCTGGAATTTCTCCTGCTTACACACTGGAAGAAGTTGTTAGCTTCTTTTCTCAGAGCGGACATGTGGATTTCGGGCAAGGAAGAAAAGCAAAAGCCCAAACATTCTGTAAGTAGTGGTTCTTGGCAACATTACCTTACCTTGATCTGGGAGAAGCTGAGCAGAGTCAAAGGGTTCTAAAACCCACGTTGTCTTGAATTCACAGAACACAGGAATGGTGTTCCAAGAGCTGCAGCTATACTACTAAGAAATGATCCCCAGGCTAAAGTGACCCAAAAAACAAGTTCTTCTTGACTTTTAAGGCAGGTGCAACTGTGGACAGCCCGGGTCCCCTTTGAAATTATCTTGCCATCATAGGATGGGCTAGGATGACTCAACTCTTCAAATGCATGTTAAAGACTGACTACTGTATTTGCTACATTCTGGCCTCAAGTTTTTTTTTTTTTTTGGTTATGATTTTGAAACTCAGAATGAACAAGACCACGTGTGCGATGTTTTGGTCACAAACATTAAAGACACCGGATAATTATAAGCAGCTGTGGAAGTCAACATCCACTGTTAAACCCATGAACCACTTCAAATTCCTCAGTGAGATACTCAGAGATAAAGATTCCAGTGAGCAACTCATTCATGACATTTTTATTATACCATAGATGAATATTTGTTAAATAAAAATAGGTACAGCAAGTGATACAATAAGACCAGTAGTTCTCCTTCAGAACTCTACCCCTTTTTCAGAGGAAGAACGTTTCCAGAATACAATGCTCAAGGAATGTAAGCCAGATCCCACTTGTATGAGGTATCTTAAGTAGTCAGACTCCTAAAAACAGAAAGCACAATAATGGTGCCAAGAGCTGGGGCAGGCAGGGGGAAGGGGCAAAGGGGAATTGTCCAGTGGGTACAGAGCTTCAGTTTTACGAGACGAGAAAGTCCCGGGGGTCTGTTGCATAGCAGCATGCATGGAGTTAACACTGCTGTACTATATGCTTAAAAATGGTTCAGATGGGTTGGGCGTGGTGGCTCACGCCTGTAATCCCAGCACTTTGGGAGGCTGGGGTGAGCAGATCATGAGGTCAGGAGATGGAGATCATCCTGGCCAACATGGTGAAATCCGTCTCTATTAAAAATACAAAAGTTAACTGGGAGTAGGTATGGTGGCACATGCTTATAGTCCCAGCTACTCTGGAGGCTGAGGCTGGAGAATCACTTAAACCCGGGAGGTGGAGGTTGCAATGAGTCAAGATTGTGCCACTGCACTCCAGCCTGACAACAGAGTGAGACTCTGTCTCAAAAAAAAAAAAAGGTTAAGATGGTAAATTTTATGTGATGTGTTTTTTACCACAATAAAAAGAAATAAGATATTAAAATATATTAGGAAAGTAAGGGGTGTTGTACAAAGTCATTTAACAAGCATTTAATTCTAGGCCGTTTGACCTGCAGAAATACTTTTGACTGATTTGTTAGAGTCAAGGTCAGGTGACAGAGCAACTAAGGTTTAGCAGTTAAATGTTTGTTGATGTCTCTTGAGTGACATTGGAGATAGCTGTGAGGATGCCAACAAATGAGGAAACTTAGGAAGTTTTTAGATCCTGGGTTGGGAGCAGTGGCTCACACCTGTAATCCCAACACTTTGGGAGGCCGAGGCAGGCGGATCACTTGAGGTCAGGAGTTTGAGACCAGCCTGGCCAACATGGTGAAACGTTGTCTTTGCTAAAAATACAAAAGAAAACAACAACAACAACAACAAAAAAACAAATTAGCAAGGCATGGTGACATGTGTCTGTGGTCCCAGCTACTTGGGTGGCTGAGGTGGGAGAATTGCTTGAACCCTGGAGGCGGAGGCTTCACTGCACTCCAGCCTGGGCAACAGAGCAAGACTATCTCAAAAACAAACAAACAGAAACAAAATGAAAAAACAAAGTTTTTAAATCCTAAAATGTGTCAGCAGAAATGGTTTCATAAGTCACGGGCAAGTTTCCACTACAAATATCACACTCCCATATTATTCTATTAGTAAATATAACCAAACGTGACCCCTTCGTGACTGTGGTTGTGGAGGGTGTGGCACTAATGAGGCAAAATAGGAGACCCTGTTTGTCCAGTCTCCGTTTCTACTCTTCCTTGGGCAAAGAATGGGCTTTTTTGGCTGGTGGTGGTGAGCATAATATTTGACTCTGCAGGTCAATGAAGTCATTGGTATAAAACTCCCTCTGAGTAAACAATTATCTGTATTCATATTAAAATAGTTTTAAAGATTCCAGTTACTGAAAATGAAGTCTTCATTTGTCTTTAAAAAGGTCATGTTCTTCTTTTTTCTATTTTTTTCAGCCATCAATTGCCGCAGAAATTCAGGCCCCAATTTGTGAATAAATCCCTTTAATTTTTTTGTTGCCGAATGAATGAAATACCACTGGTACCAGTGGTCCTGGGAACCATCCCTCCATTCATGGATTTCTTACTACTGGGAGCAGCCATCTATATAATAATGTGGTGGCCAGGGACTACAAGTGTGGGCCTTTCCATCTGATGATTCTGAGTACAAGAAAGATCTCAGATCCATTATCAAGGGAGTGGAGCCTCCTCAGCGCGGGTTAGAAGACTGATTGCCAGGGTATTGCACAGTGTCTAGGGACTGAGGTCATTGCTAAGCCACTCCTGACTCGACATCTAGGAAAAGTACAAACAGTGAAGGTAGGCTACAATGTGTATCTGCCTCTGGGCAATCCCAACGCTGTCTGCACACTGACCTTTGTTTTATTTAGATAGTAATACCCAGAGAAGATGGACAGACCGTGAGTGTTAGAGTTTGGGCCCACAGAGATGGAGCACCAGTCAAGCAGAAGAGACTTGGAGATGCATCAAAAAACAGATACAAAGGTATTTGGAATTGGGCCCAAATATAGAGCAGTAGAGATACCAAGTGAAATAAATAGAGATAAGCAAAGTGACCATGTCAGAGAGAACATGTACATTTAGAAAGAAGAAGATTGAACAAAAAAAAGCTTATATCAGAATCTTCGTTTGGAGGAGGTAAAAGAGCAGTATAATGGGGGAATGAGAGGGACTGAGACTTACTAATCTTCTGAGCCTGAGAATATTAGGATGCAAAGCTGTGTTTTTCTCTGATGATGAATACCTTCCTCCTGTATCCTAGTATTCTTCCAAAAATATCATACGGCTAGCGCTGCTAGGCAAAGCTCATTTGCTCAAAGATTTTGAAGGAGTCCAGACCTCATCATTATCAAATGACGATTATTAAGTACCCACTTCGGAATCCAATTTAGCCCCATCCATCACTCATCCAAAGATCAGACCTGTGGCAGCTTTAGCTTGCAGAACCCAGCTGTAAACTTAGAAGCCAGGAGGTTCTATGAGCTCATGAGAAATCCTTATTAGGACCCAGACCCTTGACCCTAGACCTTCATCTATTACTCTCATTTAACATAGAATTATAACAAGCCTGGCTATCTTAGTTTTTAGGCAACAGCCAGCTAAGAAAGAACAGACTGTGAAGGACAAGTTATATGGGCAACAAGGAAAAATATGCTCTAATTGCCTGACAGTGAGGGAGGCAGCAGAAAATCTCAGAACTGGACACAGAATGAGCAATCTGGGACCTCTCAGGGTTGGTACAAACAGTTGAGTAGACTTCTTACATCCAGGTGCTCTCCTTCTAGTATCTTACAGTTAAACAATTGTAAAAACTTCATATGTAGGAGTCTTAGAGATTATCTTATTGAACTCCTTCATTAGAATATTTAAATGATGATAGGGCCAGGTGCAATGGCTCGAGCCTGTAATCCCAGCACTTTGGGAGCCGTAAGCGGATGGATCACTTGAGGCCAGAAGTTTGAGAGCAGCCTGGCCAACATAGCAAAAAACCGTCTCTTAAAAATACAAAAATTAGCCAGGTGTGGTGGCATGTGCTTGTAATCCCAGCTATTTTGGAGGCCAAGGCAGGAGACTCACTTGAACCTGGGAGGTGGATGCTGCAGTGAGCTGAGATAGTGCTACTGCTCCCCAGCCAGGATGACAGAGTGAGACTCCATCTCAAAGAAAAAAAAAGTTTAAATGATGATCGTATACTAACAAAAGTTTAAGGTGATTTGTATATATAGTTTAAATTGATATCGAGTCAATATCTCTAAAAGAAAAGTTTTGGCGTTTGGAAGGGTAGAATTCTGTCACCTGAAAATCATTTTTATTTGGATCATTTACTTCTCTGATGATGCTTAATTATTTTTGCATGAAGACAGACAGGCATGGGCGTTGATGCCATCTTGTTCATTGGGAGACTGCACTAGCTTGGTTTTTCTATTCAGAGAAAAGGTCTGGCTGGGCTGGGCTGCAGGCCTCTGGTTTCTCTTCTGTGTTAAGCCAGCTTTCAAAAGAGAAGAGTTATTAAATTAAGATCACAAAATTACTGATTTTCTAACGGATTCTTCTTCAGCTTTTGGAAAAGTCAAGAAGTAGATGCTTTGCAAAATAATATATATATTTGGGCACAGCTCTAGTTTCTTTATATTTACTATAGAACCTCTGGAAAATTGTTTATTTCACACAGCACCCTAGTCACTTAGCACTGAAGGAATCTGTCCCCCATCTTGCCCATCTTTCTGCCATGATGTCTCCTTTAGCTCAGTCCTCACCTTTTTTTTTTTTTTTGAGACAGACTCTCATTCTGTTCCTCACGCTGGAGTGTAGTGGCACGATCTCAGCTCACTGCAACCTCCACCTCCTGGGTTCAACTGATTCTCCCACCTCAGTCTACCGAGTAGCTGGGATTATATGGACATGCCACCATGTCCAGCTAATTTTTGTGATTTTAGTAGAGACAGAGTTTCACTGTGTTGCCCAGGCTGGTCTTGAACACCTGACCTCAAATAATCCTCCTGTCTAAGCCTTCCAAAGTGCTGGGATTACAGGCGTGAGCCACCATGCCCAGCCTGTCCTCACTCTGGAGTGTGTGTGGCCATTGCTCTGGGTTGAAGCATATCAGACTTCTGCCTGCCACAGGCAAACCATTCTGCCCATGGAGGCATTTTGAATGACCACTCCAGCCCTTTCTTCCAGCCCAGTCACATGATGGCATGAATCAAGTGTGTCCTCCAGGAAACTACAAGGAGAAAAGAGCATCGGGGTTACTCTGATTTGATCTCTGCTGCTCTGTGTCGGCGGTATGTGTTCTGTTGCTGGTCTCTGTAAATGGAGTAGAGAATGAAGACTTTCTGGATGACTGTGCTGGTCCCTGCTCCGAGGCCCTAGTGTGGGCCAGTCTCTCAGGGAGGCACTCCTGGCTGTGAGGAGCGCATCAAGTCATGCCTCAGGGCCTGGAAGAGGCTAATAAGGGACTGGGCCCAGATGTCCTTCTGATAGCCTTGGGACAGGGCCGTGCGATAGGCTGTGTAGGCCAGGGTCAGCACTGTCCTTTCAAAGTCTTCTTTCTTGAGGATGCCAGGGTGGCCAGAGAGGCTGGCGCTGAGCCGGCGGATGTCTGGGATGCTTTTGGGGATGACGTTGTTGCAGATGGTGTGGAAGTCCGAGGCCTTCCGCAAGGAGGCCAGCTCCTCGTCCTTGATAGAGATCTGCAGGTCAGGGCTGATCTCAAGTTCGGCCAGCAGGAACTGGTGAGAAATGCGGGATGTGCAGAGACGGGAAGTAAGGCACTGTTGATTCATGAACACGCACCTTCCCTTAGCGGGGCAGCTGCTAGAAGAACTTTGGAACCCATGAGACCTGAGTTTCTGTTCTGACTTTCTTCCTTGCTGTGTAACCTTGGCTGAGTTGCTTAACTTCTCTGAGCCTCCCTTTCCTTCTCTGTGTAAATGATCAGTAATATCTACTTCACTTGGATATTGTGAGAGGTAAAGAAGACAAATAGGGACGAAGTTAATACAGTGCCTGGTTCAAAACCAGTGTTTAAGGGACTAATTATAGTTTTTAGTGTCCTGGATAATTCCTTCTTCCCTTTCTTTCTCCCACCCAACAAAGATCATCTAAAGCATCAACTATTTTGGATAATTTTAAGGCGGAAGCTGGGAGAATCTGATTAGCTTGGTTTTTCTATTCAAAGACAAGGTGTGGCTGGACTGGGATGTGGGCCCCTTCTTGTTTCCCTACTATGTTAAACCAGCTTTCAAAAAAGAAAAGTTCAGACATAAAGGTCATAAAATTACTGATTTTCATTTTTTCTTTTATTTTTTTGAGATGGAGTCTCACTCTGTCGTCTAGGCTGGAGTGCAGTGGCACAATCTCTGCTTACTGCAACCTCTGCCTCCTGGGTTCAAGTGATTCTCCTGCCTCAACCTCCAAAGTAGCTGGGATTACAGGTGTGCATCACCACGCCTGGCTAATTTTTGTATTTTTAGTAGAGACAGGGTTTCACCATGTTGGCCAGGCTGGTCTTGAATTCCTAACCTCAGATGATCCACTGGCCTCGGCTTCCCAAAGTGCTATGCTTACAGGTGTGGGAAGTAGAAAAGTTTCTTGTCAAAGTTTCCCTTCTTGTTAAAAAATAAATTTTCTAATAACTCTTTGCTAAGCCCTGTCCTATATAGCTATTAGACATGCCATGCTCACAGGCATGTAGTATATTCTATGTCCTTGTACTTTAACAGAGGTATCTGTGCTGGACGTGCTCACAGGCATGTCCCAGCTCACAGCCTATGCCCCTTACCTGTTTAAAAAAGTTTTAAGTTATTAGCCAATTGTGTTTTAGTTTAGATTGTGAAGTCTGGCTCCAACCAGTGGAGATGAGATGCAGCAGTAAGGACAACCCCAAATGCATAAGGAATAAATATGTCTGCTTTCCCTTTGTTCATTGTACTCTTGTGGCAAGATGGCTAGTGAGGATACCCTTCCCTCAGTGCAGGAAGTAAATATTGCTTTGCTGAGAGATCCTTTGTCTCAGTGCTAATTTTTCTTTGCTGCACCAAGATCTGTTTCCAACAGCAGGCATGAGCCACCACACCTGGCCCTACTGTCTCTTTCTTAACCAGAGAGCCCTAGTGCATGGAGTCAGAGGATGTCAAAGCTGGAGGGGAACTTTGGACAGCATAGTTGAGTTCTCTCATTTAACATTGAGGAGAGTCAGGCCCAGAGAGAAACGTGGCTTATGCAAGGTGGAGCAGTGGATGGGTGACAGAGGCAGGACTAAAGCTCAGATCTTGAGCCTGGGATCATAACACTGAACCAATCTGGGTGGCCTCGGAAAATTGATTCTGTGCTTTGGAGGAGGAGTGGGGTCTCAGTGATGCAGGGTGAGAGGTAGAGGAAGAGAGCCTACAGGGTGGTCCGTGGCTTCCAGAAACCCAGCTGGGCTGACAGCTCAGCCAGACAGCATTGCTGTCACAGCATGCAGGGCCTTGGAGACATGGCTGCACCCAGAAAATGGCTTGGCATTTCCTGGCACATCCTGCCTCAAGGGCTTTGCTTGGGAATATTGTCACACTCTGGTTCCTGGGTCCCAGGAATAACTCCTGCAGCCCAAACCTAATCTTTAGTTTAAACTGAACTGAACTCCTAATGCCATCATTCTCTGTTATAGGATGTGGGAAAGACAGAAGGTATGAGGAATATCTTTGAATGAGCAGGATTCTATAACCTCTACAAATTAGGCTATTCTCTTCCACAGCAGCGGTCACTCATGATCAGGGGCTCAGGTCACTTCTCCTTTTCTAAAAATGATGGAGGAAGTGCAGTGCCTTTTGGGTGACTTGAATTGAGCACATTCCCCTCTTCCTACCTCGTAGAGCAGCTCCACCTCCTCCAGGGAGGTCTGCAGGACTGGGTTCAATGGCAGCGATGAGGACCTCTTTGGCCGGTGGGCAGCAGGGAAGAGCACGGCTGAAAGAAAGAAAACAGTGAGCTCCTGGCTGCTGTGTGCACCCCGACCTTCTCCCTCTGATCCACCTTGAGGGTAGACAAGGAGTCTTAAAATTGGACTGACTTGGCTGTACGGTGGCTCACACCTGTAATCCCAGCACTTTGGGAGGCCGAGGTAGGTGGATCACCTGAGGTCAGGAGTTCGAGGCTAGCCTGGCCAACATGGTGAAAACTCGTCTCTACTAAAAAATACAAAAAATTAGCTGGGTATAGTGGTGGGCACCTGTAGTCCCAGCTACTTAGGAGGCTGAGACAGGAGAATCACTTGAACTCAGGTGGTGAAGGTTACAGTGAGCTGAGATTGAGCCACTGCACTCCAGCCTGGGCAACAGAGCGAGACTCCATCTCAGAACAGGCAAGCAAACAAAAAACAGGACTGACTTGAAAGTGGAGGTGGTCATACAGTGTGGAGAGGGGTGAGAGGTGACACACTCCCCTGGTGTGTCCCAGAACACTCTCAGGCATGTCAGACCAGTGGCTTAAAACCTGGCTGCTCATCAGAACCATCTGAGAAAATGAGAAAAGAAAAAAAAAAAGCCATCTGAGAAAGTTTTACAAAATCTATATGCCTGGGGTTATGCATGCCTTAGGGAATTTATATTAAACCAAAGAAATAAAGCAAAGCAGAAATGAGTGAACAAACAAAAAGCCCCAAATTCAATAAGTGAGTTCCCTGAAAACACTGCTCCCTAATAGCACTGTACCATCTTAGCCCTTTATCAGTATAAAGTGCTGGTTTATGTTGATTCACTGCCCTTTTAATCAGAAGATCAGGCTTCTGGCTACTCCAGCCATCTGAAATATAGCTGCCAAGAATCTGATCATAGAGGACAAAATAAAGGAAGAGAGCTATACAAGACCTTGGCCCTTGGACCTAGGGCATCATTGTGGGGTCAAGCTCAGGGCTTCACTCAAGAGTTGGCTGATTCTTTTTTTGTGTGATGGAGTCTTGCTCTGTCACCCAGTCTGGAGTACAGTGGCACAATCTCAGCTCACTGCAACCTCTGCTTCCTGGCTTCAAGTGATTCTCCTGCCTCAGCCTCCCGAGTAGCTGGGATTACAGACATGTGCCATCACGCCTGGCTAATTTTTGTATTTTTAGTTGAGACGGGGTTTCACTGTGTTGGCTAGGCTGGTCTCGAACTCCTGACCTCAAGTGATCTGCCTGCCTTGGCCTCCCAAAGTACTGGGATTTCAGGCATGAGCCACCACGCCTGGCCAGGACTGGCTGATTTAGAAATGCATTTCATATGAAGTCAGTGATTTGACAATGCTGTTCCCCAGTGGTTGCAGGTAGAAGTGGTAGCTGGAGGAAGACGAATGGCTACTAGAGGTACACAGGACAGCAAGAATTAGGTACTGACTGGGCACAAGTGAGGCAGAAGACAGAACATCAGAGTATATAGGAACGATCATTATAAATTGCAGTTCTCCAGGACCACACCAGGCTAGGAGCAAATAGCCCTGATCACTTCCACAGCCCCTCTGGGGAGCAGCAAGCCCTTCGCCAGCTGATAGAAAAAGGTGCAGCTTCTTTAAGACACTTGATTGTGATCTACCAGAAAACTGGGGAAATAACTGTAAAAATTGGAGACTACAAGGTGTTGGCAACCCCTGAAGTTGTGCAAGCATATTTTGCTTAATCATAAATGAGCTCCGCTAGTTGAAAATGGTGCCCTTGAGCCATTGAGAAAAGGTCAAATTATATTCAGTGTACTCAGTTAAAGAAGGAAGGTTGGGTGTAGTGGTCCATGCCTGTAATCCCAGCACTTTGGGAGGCTGAGGTGGGTGGATCACAAGAGGCTATGAGTTTTGAGACCAGCCTTGTCAACATGGTGAAACTGCATCTTTACTCAAAATACAAAAATTAGCTGGGCATGGTGGTGTGTTCCTGTAATCCCAGCTACTTGGGAGGCTGAGGTAGGAGAAGTGCTTGAACGTGGGAGGTGGAGCTTGCAGTAAGCCAAGATTGTGCTACTGCACTCCAGCCTGGGCAACAGGGAAAGACTCCATCTCAAAAAAAAAAAAAAGGCAGGGAAGAATAGAAAGCATTTTAGAATGATTTCCTTCAGAAGTGATTTAAAAAAAGGAAACATCTTTAACTTAAAGGAATTTGTCCAGGCATGGTGGCTCACGCCTGTAATCCCAGGACTTTGGGAGGCAGAGGCAGGTGGATCACATGGTCAAGAGATCGAGACCATCCTGGCCAACATGGTGCAACCCTGTCTGTACTGAAAATATAAAAATTATCTGGGCGTGGTGGCACATGCCTGTAGTCCTAGCTACTTGGGAGGCTGAGGCAGGAGAATCACTTGAACCTGGGAGGTAGAGGTTGCAGTGAGCCAAGATGGTGCCAGTGCACTACAGTCTGGCGACAGAGTGAGACTCCGTCTCAAAAAAAAAAAAAAAAAAGGAACTTTCCTGAAAATCTCACTGACCTCACTGGTAAGGATCTTCCTTGTCCCAGAAAAGCCTGACAGATGTATTATCATATTGCTGTAAATTGCTTTCTCAGTAACTCATTTATGATCAATACCACAAGTTCCTCAAGGGCTGGGATAGATATGGTTTTATATTTCTGTACCCCTGGCAGGCTTCTGGGTGTGAACCAAACATAGCTGTTGATGACCAAATCCCTGCACTGAAGTTCGCCTCGACCAGCAGAGTGACCAGCTCTGCTTTGCCAGGCCATGCCCGGGGAAGGAGCTATGAACTCCATGGCAGTATTCCCTAGCCCAGCATTTCAGCAGTTTATACTCTTTGCCAGAAAAGAGCCAGTTTCCCACAGAATCATAGATTTTAGGGCTCGAGGAAGCCTTTGCCTCTGCTTATCCATTGCCAGTGCCGGTAGTTTCAGGTGGAACGCGGGAGAGCGAGGTGTCTGTGACTCCACTAGTTAACACTGTTGGAGTCACCACAATAGTTTCTTGCACCTGGCTCCAGAGATCTGATTTAGTTGAACCAGAGCGCACTGAACACATTACGATTTTGTAAAGCTTCCTAGGTGCTTCTAATGACAGCCAATGTTGATGAACACATTACGATTTTGTAAAGCTTCCTAGGTGCTTCTAATGACAGCCAATGTTGAGAACCACTGTCCAGTGAGAGTGAGTTTGACCTGAAATTGTATGGAAGACGCTGACCCTGGGCTGTGTGGCAGTTCTCAGGTTAGACCAGTGGTTCCCAGCCTTGACTAGACATTCGATTCATCTGGGCACTTTTAGAAACCCAAATGCCTGAGATCATACTCCAGGCCAATTTATGGGCATCTCGCACTGGGAGTGAAATGTAGGCACTGGGACTTTTTCCAGCTCCCAGGCTCCAGTGGGTTGCCAGATCTGTGTTACCCGCATCGTAGGCAGGCCAATGGTGTCTTTCTACCATAAAACAATTCAGAGCGCTTGCCTATCTTTTGGGGCCTTACAAGGTCATCTGAAGAGACCAAGGTCATCATGTTCTTGGAGGTTAAGAAGTGCAGACACAAAGAGGGCACAGACTTTGTCTCTGCTTTCTCCTTGGCACGAGATGAGTTGGTCCAGGATCAAGGTGTGGCCTGTTTCTTTCTTTATGCTCTTCTTTATTCCAACCAGGAAGAAAGCAGGTAGAGTAATCCCCCTTCTCAGGGTAGGAGCTAAGAGGAACTTTACTTCTTTATTCCAACCAGGAAGAAAGCAGGTAGAGTAATCCCCCTTCTCAGGGTAGGAGCTAAGAGGAACTTTACTTCTTTAGTTCTGCTAGCATTTATCTTTTGTTGCCAAATTAAAGGTATTATTCCCTTAAACACACACACACACACGCACACACACACACACACCCTTCACTCCCAGCAGATGAAGGAGGTAGGGAGGGATTGTCAGGGCGTGGAGTGCTTTCTGCTTGCTGTAATCACAGCCAGCCTGTGGCTGCCTGCCTGGAAGTTATTCATGATCTCAGACCGGGACTTTCTTCACTCAGTTGTTGCCCTGCGAACAGCAACATGCCTTTAACATGCTCACCCCAGGTGGAACCCCCTAGTTCTCAGAGAGCCAAGAAGAAAATATTTCCTGATTTAAAGCTGGCTTGATAATGGAAGTGTTGTCATTTCCAATAGCTTTTGGTTTCCTACTGAACAATAACATAATTTGGTGAAGACTTAGAAATAGCTTCAGCCTTCAGTCAAGGAGGATGGTTATTGCTTTAGAATGTATGTGTGAGTCAGGCATGGTGGCTTACATTTGTAATCCCAGAACTTTGGGAGGGTGAGGTGGGTGGATCACTTGAACCCAGGAGTTTGAGACCAGCCTGGGCAACATAGTGAGAACTGTTTCTACTAAAAATAAAGAAAATTAGCTGGGTATGGTGGCACATGCTTGCGCTACTTGGGAGGCTGAGGCAGGAGGATCAATTGGGTCTGGGATTTCAAGGCTGCAGTGAGCTGTGATCAGCCGCTGTACTCTTTGAGACCAGACTGGGCAACAGAGTGAGACCCTATCTCAAAAGAAAAAAAAGAGGCAGGCAAATGAAGAAAGCATTTCTAATAAATGTAACTGAGAAAGTTCAATATCTAGAAGGTAAAAAAGGAGGTCTTGGCTCAAGCCTGTAATCCCAGCACGTTGGGAGGCTGAGGTGGGTGGATCACGAGGTCAACAGATCGAGACCATCCTGGTCAACATGGTGAAACCCCGTCTCTATTAAAAATACAAAAAATTAGCTGGGCATGGTGGCGTGTGCCTGTAATCCCAGCTACTCAGGAGGCTGAGGCAGGAGAATTGCCTGAACCCAGGAGGCGGAGGTTGCGGTGAGCCAAGATCGCGCCATTGCACTCCAGCCTGGGTAACAAGAGGGAAACTCCGTCTCAAAAAAAAAAAAAAAAAAAAAAGGAGGTCTTACCAATTCATTTAAAAAGTAAAAACTTAGAATGTATGTGTGGGAAGCACAGGAATCTTAAAGATGGGTCTCTCTCCCTCCCTTCCTCACCCCCA